GGCACATGTGGTATGTATAAGTGTCTTGCGCTGGCTCCTTTCCAGTTGCTGCAAGAGCAACTTGAGAACGGTGGCTTGGCTGCGGCTGCGGCATGCGTTGGTTGCATTCTGACAGACCAATTGTCGATGCAGTGCCTGCGATGGACAACTTACAAGGAAATGGGACCAGCAAGGAGTCGTGCGCGCATACACACAAGAATCTCACGACCAAACTAAATGAATCTGGCTTGATGGTATGTATGTTCCTACACGACACATATAAAGTTTGGCTGTTTATGTGCATCTCCTGCACGTTCAACTACCAGTGAAAGTGAGCACAGTCTTGAGTCATTCAAACAACTATCCTAACTACTATCCTTCAACCCTAAATAAAATACTCGTGGTATAAGTCACAAGGACCCTCTTTGCCCTCAATTTATGAAGCAAACAAAAGGGATCCAACTGGACCTCCTTCAGTCATCCAGCGTCAAAGAACCTAGCGCCCAGCTGAACCTTGACCCCTGGTGTTTGGCGTGCAACAGAAACCAAGGAACTGGTTGTTTGGATGGTTTTGGTATGCTTGCTCGCATCTGACCAAACATAAGGAATGGCTCCAACAATTTCGGAGAGACCGTCACGAGACCCACAAAAACTGCTGCAAGTGAATCTGGGAGAAGTACCGTGCAGGTTTAAAATCGCTTTAGAATGGTTCTTGATCGGGTCCTTGATTGACCCGGGGCGCTTTCTGGGGCGGCATCTATTCCGGTCCCATTGGTCGTGTCTGGGTTTCGAGGACCAAATTTGCTCCACCAGTTTCTCCACTTTCTCACCCTCTTCTCTTCCGCGGTCTCAATGCCCAGTCCGCTTCTCCCTCGTCCTGCAAACGTGGGGATTGGCCCATCGGCACAGCGTCGAATTAGACAAGGATGCTCCTGGCATCTTCTGTACATCTAAATAGGTCTATCAATCATCTAATAACGGTTGCTGCGATGACATGGGGCTGATTGGCCAGCTGCTGGTGAGTTAACCGGTTCTACGGAATCCAGTGATACTATAGTCAGACAGTGCAAAGCAGGTCATGGGAATCCCCAGGTCTGCCGCATGAATTTTCTTGAGAACCTGTCGACCGGTTCAGTACGACGTTACCGTTGAGTTGCTGTCGAACCGGGTTACGTCACTCGTACATCGAACCCCCGCAGGTGAAGAGGTGTAAAAAACGATGTTCCTCCACCGGTGAATCCCATCAATCACCCGAAAGCCCAACAGCGCGGGTCGGTCGGTCGACCTTTTCTAGCAACAAAGAGGAAGGCAACGACTGGGAGGGTTTGGACCCCGGTGGCCCCAAATGGGCCCATGCGCCAATCGTGACTCAAAAAGACTAAAGATCGAACGGAGTGACACCGCGATGCGTCACACACGCCTGCGGTTTCACGCGTTTTTTTTTGGCGCTGTGAGATCCTTTTGGACTCTTTTGGATAGGATTCTGGTGCGGAAGTGCCCTTCCAAGAGCACTTTCTCCATCTTTCTCCGGAGAGTCTATCTAAGTCCATGTCTGAAATCGATTCGTCAAGGATGGTGTGATCCAAAGCACATCCCTGACTTGTTAGCGCAGCCCTGACTTGTTTCGTTGCCCCCACTTGCGAGTGAACAGGAGTGAACACCCAGTCATAGACTGACCCATGCCTTCACGAGCCCTCGGCTGGCACGAGCCCTCGTGGAGAAACCAATTCCCTGCAAAGGCCATGTGAGTTTGGCTCAGCCCTGCAAACACAACGGTGAGGTTGCAAAATAGATCAGCTGCAAAGGCCACGCGGCCAAGCTCCAAGTCATCACATGCTCCAAAATAAGTTCACGATCACAGCTGCAGTTCCCTTGCAGCTGAGCACTCGTGAAGAACCCCCAGTTAGTTTTCCGGTGGTGCGTCTCAGAGGCCACCAAGGTTCACATTGCTCTGTTGCTTCATATGTTCTCTGCTTACTGTGGTTTCAACTCACTTGAAAAAGACTACAGTGACTACAGTAGTCAGTGGGATTCAGTGGGTGTCCATCCCAAGGACCGAACTTCGGTCATGCATCTAAATCGTGAAGAAATCCCTCCAAGAATCGCTCCTTTCTACTGCGCTGCGATAGGTTGCATATCTGGGATTGGTCAACATGGTCAAACGATATCGATTCCGCAGATTCGATCTGGGTCGAAGCCTCTGAACCAGGCCATGTTGGACTTCAAGAAACGTCATGTGTCTTTCATCGAATGAAGACCCACGGACTGGCTATGGGTCTGGGTCCGGCATGCTCCGAGTTTTTGGTTCGTCCAAGAAGCTCGGGGCTTCTGCTCTGCACCCAAAATTCCCAGATCAGTCTTCACGTCAGCGTCTTCTTGCGCGGCCTGAAGAGAATCTGTGCGGCCGAACTGCGATCGGAGCCCATGGATCGGAGGAGTGTTGAAACTTGAAACCTGTCGATGGAAAGCATATGCAAAAAATAACACTGTGACGTCTGTTCCGGGTAGTTCCGGGTAGTTATATACACCAAATCCGAACACTTTTCCGACTCACAAAGGTCCTTAGTCCTTGATCTGTTCGGAGAACTAGTCACTAGTCACTCCTGGACTCCATCAGTAACCTTGGCCACCCCCAGTCACACAGTCACAAGTTGCACCACAGGCGCGACCAAATCCCGGCCCCGGCGAACGAACCAACCGGCCACACAGAACAACACCCTTCGCCCAGTCCCGGCGAACTCCGCCCGGCCCGAACGAACGTCGTGAGGCCTCAGCAGTGTGAGGTACGGCTGCGCCTCAGTTGGATCTTGGGCACCTCCTTCTCCTCCGCGAGGTCGGCGAGGGCCGCGGAACGACCGGGGCGGAACGACCGGGAAGTGGAAGAAACCGGGAAAGTGGCTTGAAGCGACCATGCATGAAAGGCGCTGAAGTGAGGAGGTACGAAGTTCAGCGGTGTTGTCAGAGCTGGCTGTATTTCACACAGAGTAGCGACTCTTGATTCTATTTCAACCCACAAGCCTAGATGAAGTCTTACCATCCATGTATGCGGGGGTTGAAATCTCATCCAAAATCAAATGTCTACATTTCGCTGGCTCCGACGGGGGCAGCTCCAGCTTCGTTCCGCGCGGAACGACGCTGCCCCAAACATGGACGAACAGGACTGCCGCTCATTTGATCAGGCCAGGAGTGGTGCCAGGAGGGTCAATGGAAGCATATCTTCCAGTCCCATGGACTGTCTGCTGTATGAAGGGGTGCCCATTGGAGGATAGGGGTGCCCATGAAAAACACTCACTGGATGCGACTAAAAACCACCCCTCTGGAAATAACAAGGACCCCCAAAGCTGTAGATTCTCTGCGAACGAGTAGAGAACGATCCAAGCTCTGCATGCGACCACATGGTGAGGGCTCCCATGTTGTAGAGAACAGGCTGACAAATGATGCGTATCCATTTAAAGTAACTTGTATTAACTTCTTGTGGTCCACTTCCAAGCTAGACATGTTTGAGGACATGGGACCACAACCCACCACGGCCCGCTTTCACAAGTCCAAGCGAGTCCAAGCACCGAAACCGAGCGACGACGCTCTGTGGACGAGTCCCATCCACCCCGGGTTCCGGTCGGTTTGCACCTGGTAGCGCGGGGGCGTGCCCGTCAACAGCTCCTGCGCTCGGCTCTGCTGCGCCGAAAAGCGCTTGGCCGATGGATTCCGGGATCAAGATGTCGACTTGTAAAGGCGGATCTGTGGAATTGGCGGATGGTACAACCCAGAGGTCGACTTGCAAAGGCGGATGTGAGGGATTGGTGGGTGGTACAACGCGGGGTCCAAGATGGAGAACGCGTTCCAAAGAATGTGAAAACACGTGGCGGCTCTGTCAAACACTTCACGTTCTTCTGAAGCTTTCTATGAACTCTGCTGATCTCAGCTTTGAATTTTACACGTTCTTTTATGGTACAACAAAAACATTTCATGCTCCAGCTATGTGTCTTCTTCACTCCACTTATGAATCTTCATCACTAGTCAAAAACCGCTTCAGGTAACCTCAGGCTGATGACCTCTCTACTGACCTGTCTTTGTCAGAAGTTCCTCAGTTTTCCTGAAACCTCATCTAATCTGTATAGTTCCATGATGGCTGCACAAGGACATGCAGAAAGATCCTGCCACTTATGGATCTTATGGCACATGTAACTTGACTTGCACAAGAAAAGGTGGCACATCCGTCTCTCCTGCTTCTTCATCTGTAGCATCTCTTGCCAATACTCATCCGCCAACTGCTTCTGCCGAAGGGCCTGCACCCCACACCCCCGCACCGAGGGGTTCACCGGTTTTCACGGTTTTCACGGCGTATACTTGAGACACGCGCGGCTCCTCGGTCGCCGGAATTGGTTGGGACCCGCAGAAAAAGGTCCATCCAGTCGGGAGACTCGTTGAAAACACGTTGTGGTCCTGTTGGCAACGAGTGATTCGTACGGGCCTCAGAAGATGTCTTTTAAAACGTCTCTTTGCAATGTCCAGAACATTCGACATGTCTACAGTAGATCCCAAACACGAGCGATGAGACTGGCATACTTGCACACATGATTTGGGTGTGCTGATTGAAAAGGGAAGCATATATATATATTATATATTCCAGTCCCATGGAGAGTTTGGGTATTGGCTGACCCGAAACTCTACATCAAAGGCGAACCTTTCCACTCTCTGCGGTTCGTGTCTGTCGCTAAGGCCGTCCTCCGCTCGGCAGCGGCGGTTCTCCTCCTCGAGCGCCTCGTGGTGGACCGGCCCACCGTTCGGAACCACACGGGGAGGGTCGAGTCTTGGTAGGATAACCCCAGGTTTGAATTGGATTGAGCCCCTCCCCGATTGTTGGAACTGGAGGATTGATATAATCAAATCAAGAGTCTAATTACATTACTGTGAGTCGTTGGAGAGTCACAGGGACCCAGTAAAGAACGAGTGTGCTTCTGCATCTGCAACCTATGGATCTCTTCCCTCCCACCTTCTCAGATCTACCTATCCCTCCCTTTGGCACGTTCACGCTATTTTCCGTCGCCACGTTCTTCTCCGTTCGTTCACCACCCTTCGCCGGCGGGATCAGGACTGGCTCGGTTGTGTTCAGCATGCCATCCAGCTTGCTCCGCCCTTCTTCGGTGCCGCGAACTCGTCGCACGCACCACCGCCATCAGCCTTTTGCGAGATACCATGCGACCTGCGCAAGCGGAACAAACAGGGAGCATATCTAGGTCGGGATGCGTTAGACCTCTGCAAGCGCGGCTCGTTCTGGTGTGTTGAAACATTAAATATTTGCATACATTGGGGTGGTTTCAGGGGTCAATGCATGCATATTTTCCAGTCCCATGGAGTGTCTGGGCATTGCACTTCACAGGGAGCATCCACCAAATGTGAGTTGCCCAGTGGGAGCCTTGACTTTGAGTGGTGATCCACTGAGCCCGGTCAAGCAAGACTGGAACCGGAAATGGAATCACCCTGGCCCTTTAAGTGGAAATCTTGGAAGAAACTCCTTTCCAGAATTGGTTTAAGGGAAAAACCTACAGGACACCCATAGTTTTGGGGGGTGAACACCCATGGGTTTTCTGCAGGTTTTCCCTTCAACCAATTCTGGGACTCTTGGATTGCCTTGAGGATCTGTCAATGAAATGGATCGGGATATTTTCACGCGAGTTGTCGCCCAAAGAGGTGGATGAATGAACGCGATGCCCAACGGCCGTCATAACAAATGGATATTCAGTTCATTCTACCCAGACACTCCATGGGACTGCCATATATGCCGATCAGTTGGGGTGGCTTTGGGAACTCCAAAGTTTATCAAAGTCTACCTTCCGGCAAGCCCACGTCCTCCAACTCCATCGGCGAAGTGCTCTAACTCCACTGTCACTCACTGGTCGCCCTCCGCCCCTCCTCCGGCCAGAGCGGCTGCGGTTCGCTGCCAGCGCGGCTGCTTCGGCTTAGAGCCCGCAGCTTTCCTGGACACTGGAGTCGTTGATGTCCGGGTGGCTCAAGCGCCACCAGTCCGCCGGCAGATCCTGTGATGAGCCATTCACTGCGGACGATGTGTGTGTGTGTGTGGCCCGTGGCAGGGGACGATGGTGTGGCAGGGTGGACAGCTAGAGAGACCGTCCAAAGAATGAACAAGGGGAGAGACTGCAGCTCAGTGTTGCAAATGATGAGTGATGTAGACATTGAGTTGAGCAGTCTTGAAAGGGCTTCTCTCCTATAGGGTATCAGAACGAAACAACAAGCATTGAACCTGTAGAGAGGTGTGGGAGGGGGAAGCTGTAAAAATTAGCAGCTGTGTGCACTACTTAGTTGGAGTGACTAAGTTGATTCTACTTCCAAGGGCATCTATGCCATGTAATTACACCGAAGGACAACCCAAAGTCCGAGTCCTATTGAATCTGGCTTCCACTCAAAGGATGTCCCTTAATTGAACTTGTATAATTAGCAATGAACTCAAGGCGTGCATAGGACTTCCACTGCCAAATCGCACTACTCTCAAGTTCGGCGCAGCATTTGGTTCTCCTGGGTGGTGGCCTCGCAGGACCTCGAAGCAACTGGTGGCCCACAGGCGAAACCTTCCACGTCGAGTCTCCCGACCTCTCTCGCCACGTCCGTCCGGGACGCGTTGCATCGATCCTCCAAAGACGCCTCCCGAAATCCCTAGTTTTGCCAAGTGATATTCATTCGAAGAGATATTCAAGGCTATAACTGAATGGACAATGGAAAAACACCTCCCCTCTTGGTTGGCCATCAATTTGGGGTCCAATCTCTCCAACGGTCGAGACGGTCGAGACGCTCGCTCCTGCGGCACCTGGTGCGGCTGATGCAGCACGGGGTGCAGCTGACCAGGGCCACAGCACTGCCACTCGGGGACGTGGCCTGGGCCTTGGGCAAACGCTTTGGGAGCTCTTGAACTCAGCAGCTCAGGAGCAACCCATGTACTGTTAGACAGCAAAGCAAACAGCAGAATTGTTGCAAGGCCGTACGAGGCATGTTCCAGCGTTCTAGTAAAACAGTCCGTCTTCCCATTTAACAGCTTTGTTGAAGAACCCCAGGAAATCGCAAGGTTGTACAAGGCATTACACTTTGTAGGATCATGTAGGATCACCCCCAAAAAAGCCGTCGCACGTGCTTTTCTTGTACCAGTGTGGGATCCTCTGACTATCCATGGTGCAGGGCTTTTGCAAAATCTCACTGCACCAACCTTCCGCCCTCCTGGTCTTGATGTCCAGGTCGCCAAAGCCGGCACATCCATTGCGACACACGGGGCAAAGCTTGTCACAGTGCCCTTTGCCGTTGCACGTGAAGCCTCGGGGCAAGTGGTGATTCCAATCCAGTGCGATGTCGCCCGTTCCAACTAGCTCCGTTTGGAGGGTGCTTGGGGTAGGTGACTGGCGGGGTCTGCCCCTACCGACTTCGGATGTGGGACGTCAGCCCTGAAGTATTGGATCATATGGGCTCTTACACCAGTTGCCGAGACATCGTTGCTCAGGAAGCAACACCCGAAATCCCCCCAAAAAGCATCGGTCGTCTGCGGTGCTTTGGACGTGAAGAAACAGGACACATCTCTTAAGAGTTGGCAAAATGGGCATCTGGATTTTTGTAAGGGACCGGATTGTGAATGATATGGCCCCACTGAAGCAGACATGGAGCGCACGTGCGAGCAGATGGAGGGGCACAAGCCCACAGACTCTTGCGGACTGCTCACCGCCGCTGCGGCCGTATGACCGCCAAGTTTGACTGTAAGGGACCTTTGTACGTTCATTGAGGAAAAGACCTCCAAAAGGACACTTCCATCGATGTCCATTCCGAAAAAACACAACACCCCCGCAGCTCCTTCCAGGAAGCGATCGTTCTTGTCCACACAACAGTAGGCCTTCATCGGCGCTGGCAGCCATCGGAAGTTCTGGAAGCCTTGGCATCGCCCCAGCTGTGTCCTGCGTGGTCGTCGGTCTCCCGCCTTTTGCGGGCAAAGCGCCTTATGCGGTGGAAAAGAGGAGCGCCTAATGGACGGATTGCTTTTTTGAAAGAACTCGCCACCGGTCACCCTCTCTGGTTGTAATCATTACATCCACACTGCCAAAGACTTTTTATCACCCAATGACTCAGCGTGACCCCCAAGGTACACCCACCCATAAGGTTCGCCTTTGAAGTCAAACATGGTTTGTAATTCTGGGAATTCGATGCTTTGGGCATGTCTTCAGTCTTCCAACAGGATGAACACTTGGAGACTTCGAATGTATTGGTTGAAAGTTCGGAGACATAATTTTGGAAGACCTCTGAAGACATATATCCCTAATAAGGCGTAAACACACTAAGAAGGTCTCAACCAGAAAACGTAAATAGAAACAACTACTTCACTAAGAAGGTCTTAACTCTTAACCTAGAAAAACAAAAGACACCACCACTTCATTGCCATCCATAAAGCGTCCAAGCTCCTCATCCCACACATCCAATCCAGAAAAAAGAAAACATAATCCTTCGTCCTCACACAGCACGCACTGCACGTATCTTCGGACAAAAACACGGAAAACCACCGCGGCCCCGGGCACCTTCCAGGGATGTCGTAGAGCGGGTTCGATTGGAGCTTGATCCCCTCGTCGAACCAACCCGCCAAGAGGAGCCCTATTCCGCGACGCGGATGCAGCACGCGACGTCATTCGCGCGACGGTACCAGAGTGGGTGTCCAAAGCTCGTCATTGTATAGTGGTTGCCCATCAAGCACAACTCCAAACATATATATATATATATGTTTACGTTCGCCGGACCCAGGCTAACTCTGAGAACCATCACAGATATGCTAAGTGGTTAACATAATACGTTTACAATGATCGAACGGTCTTTTTTGTGTCGAAGGCCTACCGTAGCCCACCGAACACATCGCACTCTGCCCACCGAACACATCGCACCACTCGGTGGATGATCAGCTTTTTCTTCGGCCAACCCACCGACTTCGGCTGCCCGCCTAGAGAGCCTTCCGGATCACAGCGGCGAAGCCAGTACTCCGGGCGGAGCAGGTTGCAGCTGGAGGTCTGATGTTCCTGGCGGCGACCGCGAGGTGCCGCATCACTTGCGGGAAATATATCTGCGAAATTCGGAACGCGTGCAGTGACGGGCATGGATCGGTGTTGCGGGGGAGGTAGGTGGAGAGGGAAGGGTGAAGGGTGACGAGCGAAGGAAGCAACACGACAGTCACTCTCCGCCATCCGTCCTTCATCAGCTTGTACAGGCACGGCACCACATGCGCCGGATAGAGTTGCAGCATATCGGAGCCCGGGAATTTGTTTCCCAAGAAGCGCGTATCCACCTCCATGCCTGGTACTGGAAATGGCTTATTCAGGGTGGGTTTATATGGGTGATATGGGTGTGTCAGCGTGGCTTGCCTTTTTCCTGGATAAATGATTCTGGAACCTGCCCCAAGGTTGGTTGTTACTGCTAGATGTCAAACAAGTATAATCATGTATATACGTTGAAAGTTGAAACGTGTATCTAGATAACGCTGTTTGGAAAAAGCAAAGGTCGGGTGGTTTGGGGTCGGAGGCTCCAGTAGACATCAATCAACTTATATAAGTTTGTTCCACATATCTTGGTTCGATTGCACACCTGTTTATGTGGAGACCAACTTGGAAAAAGGATGAAAGCATGTACATGATCGACAGGGACGCGACCTATCCCAACGCAAGACGTAGGGTTGTTGACTCCAAAAACTCAGCCGGTGGCCAACACCGATACCGATCGAACACCCACAAAAAAACAATAGACACATATACCCTTACACGCCCACCCGCATACAGTGACATGCACACATCCGACCATTCAATCACGTCCAACAAACCCAACTGGTAGAGGAAATGTTTGCCAAAACGTCTGGATGGTTCAAGAGAACCAAAGGATTCTCAACAGCAGAGCTGGTTAGGGACGGAATTGGAGAATGCAGGATTCCAAACTGCAGACATGCTCAAACGTTGCTTTCATGATGAATCATGTATACTATTGTATTCTGTAATTTTGCACTCCTTCATCCTGGCACCAAGCTTCGCCCTCCAAGAAAGGGCAAGAAGTAGGTGTGCCGGTCCCCTCGACAGTGAGCGAAGCCGCTCTGCACCAGCCCTGGCAGCTGCAGTAGATCTGTGGTCAGGTGAATATCGAAGCCTGGGGTCGGTCCGTGGCCAGGACAGCAAACCCTGGGGCTCCAAACGTCCCAGTGGTCTTCGACCCCCCGAGACCGCCCCCCCCACACACCAGCGAAGCGAAACGGAGGGGGCGGGGTTCAGAACCCCGGAATCCAAAGAAAGTCAAGTAGACAAAGTTGGTCTTCAACATGCTTCTAGCCCGTCTTCAAACTCGTCTGGCGGGCAAACATCTTCACCAAACCCATGCAAAGCCACTAATGTCGCAACTAATGACCAATATAAGCACCAAATCTGCCAAATCTTGTCAAACTACCTACTTCATCCCTTTTTGGCTCACTTGTTTCACTGGCTCACAAAAGGTAGCAAGACATCCTCCCACAGCGTCCCGGACCAAGAGACAGAACGCACTCGTGAGGCCCATGTGTCACATAGGAGCCAGTGTCTATTGCTTTGGGGCTGTAAACAAAACGCAGGGGTCGGACCTTCTCCACCGAAAACGCAAAGGGTCCGGGTGCACATCGTGTGTTCCTCTACAAACAGGTAGTTTGTTACTCCATGATGAAGTGTGTCGACATCATCGATTGTCATCCATGATCATCCATCGCTACGTCCGTCCAGGGCACGTAGGAGCAGCACGAAGTCGTAGGCGACACCTGAAGCGAACCCGGCGACGGACGGACGGACGGGGTTCACCGAACCCACTGGAAAGCGGGGTGGAGACACCCCCGGTGCCATCGACTGGGTGAGGATGGCTGGCATACATGGAGTGCTTGGGTCTGGCTTCTCTGAGACATCCCAAGCATGTACACAAGAATATATATGCAGCATCTTTGAGTTCTATACTATCTCTAGACTTGATCCCAAGGTTCAAAGTCTGGCTCCTTCCCTCTTTCCAATTACCTGGAGTCGGTAGTTCACTGATTCTCTGGTAGATGTCACCAACCATGAGCGTAGAATTCGGACCTCAAGGCTCTTTACCACTCAATCTTCAGCAACTGGAACGACTTGCGTCGCGGCGAAAGGCAACCAAACTGGCATGATGGCCGAGTGAATGCCAAGCCAAGAACGTTTGTCCAACCGGATTGCTTTTTGGTTTGCACCCAAACCACAAAACATTGACCCCTCAGCCTTGAATTCTTCTGGCATTGATGAACATCCGTACTATATCCAAGGCCAAACATGCTTAAGCTGCAATGAAATAATATGAAATGCCCATGGAGCTCAATCAAAGCCACCTGACACCCTCTAAAGTGCGAACCCATGACTTCAATTGACTTCAATGACCCCCGCAACTTATCAACATCCATCAACTCCAACTTCTACTACCAGTCAGGGAAAGAACCTGACGGGTAGGGTCTGAGGACCCCTCTGCAACCACAGCGACCAGAGTCCAGGATCATCTTGGTGGCAGTGACCCCGGCAGAGCTTTGGTAGCAGTTCCGGATATGCCGCTCTGTCGTCTTCTTAGTGAGGCGAGGTAGGTGCTCGTCTTCGGGGCAATGTTCAGCAAAAAAGACACGAAACGGACATGGAAAGCCGTGGAAGACCACCTCACTGTTGGTAGAGACACATTGTCTTCCAGTGGCCATGCCATGCACGTCCATGATGATTTCAGGGAAATAACATGTTTCTGTTGAACACAGTCACGGACGGACACGGAAGCATTCGACTGCTGGCTTCTTGACGACTCAACGGAAACTGAACGAGTTCCCACTGCTCGCTTGAACGGATACAACCTCCCTGACTAATTTTATGTGGTGATACAATGGATGTAATCTACTGAAAAAAGACCTGCCTAAGAATCCCAAGACAGGTTCTGTCCACGTGAATAGCCCAATTGTTTCGCTTAAATCACCCTGCTCTCCGCGCACCCAGGCGCGCGCGCCACGAACCCTATCCGACTGAGCTGCTGCGCACGGGGCGACATCGATCACCGCGCTCGCCCGGAAGGGGTGGTAAAGATCCTTCCTCAGAGCACATGCTGGACAGGGTGCGTTCTCCACTCCACAGTGACGTCCGACCCATGGGAGTCGGGACGGGGTGCGGTTTGGGACCGTAGACCTAGTGGTTGACGACCGGGAGTGATTGCCCTCTATCAATTGTCAAGCAATTATTAAAAGGCCATCTATGGTGGTCTTGGTCTCGGCGAAGAGCAGGGAGGGAGAGCACGGAGGGCCAAGCCGCGGCCAAGCCGTACCAAAAGCATAACCGATGGGACTGGCGAAATTCACTGATTAACTCGGGAAACATATTGAAAAGGAGGTCAAATAATATATTCGATACGTGGATAGTCATGCATATACATACATACATATAGTGTCTGAAGTTTTGGCCTCCAGCCTCAGTATAACATAAAGTTTCTGACAAGAAACGCCTTTGGGATTCACTTCGCATGTCTTGCGCCCTCCACCAGTCGCACTTGCCCAACCAACTGTGTCTTCCAAGCATCACATGGTCCAAGTTCGACTCTTTTCGATAAGCCAAGAAGATGTCCACCTGACTGAACTGTCCGAGCAAAGCATTAAGTCTGTTGCCCACATTGATCGCACATGTGCAAAGGACGATGTCATCAATGGGCTCAATAAACGAATCAAGTGTTCTATTTGTTCCCTAGTGTTGCAAGGCAAGCCGGGTGGATGAGGGGCCCGACAAGTATACAACATTGAGCCTTCTTTTGATCCTCATGCTATCCACCTGGGGAGATGAGTACAGCAGGTCTCGGCAATCGTTTTCTTGGGCCAGGAAGAGGTGCAGGGTTTGTTCATGCAGGTCTCAAGAACATGATGGACTCCCGAGCCGTTTTTGGGAGAGAAGAGATCGGTGAAAGCGTACTCCACCTTTCCGAATTTATGAGTGGACAAACTCTCCAATTCCACCTAAAGTCGGTTGAAGGTTATCCACTGACTTGCTGGGATTGTATTTGACTGGATCGAAACGACAGACCCTTTAAATTAGAGCCAGGTGGTCCTAACTGGTCTGGACCATTGGACTTGTACCAGCAGCACATTGAGCACCTTTTCCATCCTTTTCTGTCACGTCACACGTCCCCAGGATGTTTCTTTGCCAGCTTGATTCCACAAATTGGTGATGACACGTGTTACCATTTTTCAGACTGTTTCCCACACATGAATGACCAGCTCTCGACTGGCAACCGATAATTAGCATTCTTCGGTAGCACTCATCTACTTGAGAAAGACAATGTACCGCAATGAACATATTAGATTCGTTTCGCAGCTGGGGGATGATTTCTTGCACTCTTCAGCATGTTCAGCTGTCTGAGGGTCTTGCTCATTTGCTAGGGAATCACCAAACATAACATACAAATACAGCAGATACATCATATAACTCACTCAGTCTTCAGTCTGTCCTTTGTCGAACCCCGAATTCCAACCAAACGACTGTCGACTGTCACCATTCCTCCGGACCATCAGTCAACCTCTCCAGGTCCATCATCGACACATCCCTCTCCCCTCCTCCGAAATTCCCGCTCCCATCTCCCTGGCTCACCCACGTAGCCCACGCCTCGTAGCCCGCGCGGCGCAGGCTCTCGGCCGCACGGCGGTGCGAGGCGCTGCAGAGCTCTTGGTCGCGCCAGGCGTGGCGGCCGATCTCGCCGCGGAGGACCTGGGCAGCGGTCGCGTCCCGGTTCGAACGAACGAACGTCGGTCGCGAGCTCCCAGCAGCGGTCGCGGAAGCCCTCCGGTCGCTCCGGACGTCTCCGTTTGCTGAGGCTTTTGTTTTGGGCAGCCCAAAAATAAAGCGCCGTGTGCTTTTTGGTTTTAAGTACAAGTAATAAGTCTATAACATGAACTGAAACAGTGCCATACACCATGCGCCTTGTGCCTGCTGGCTTCTCTTTGCTGGATCTGTGTGAACGTCTCTGATTCTGGGTGATGGGATCGTTGCTGGCCCACACTCTCATCCGGTGTGTAGATCTCTCCCAAAGTAAACTCGAAAAAGGTTCAACGCTCAATGTTCCTGCTTTTCAGGGTGCTGGATATGAGTGCCAAAGAACATCTTGTATCTGGCCTATCTATAATATCTAGCCTAATTATGCCTATAATTAGGGCCTAGACTGGGTCAGACCCCCCCTCTAGCATCGTCTGTGGAGGCTCCTTACTATCGTCCCATCCCACCCCCTCCACTGCTCCACCCCCTTCGGTGTTCCAAGCAGCCATGGCGATCCGCTGGGAGCATTGACTTTCCGAGCTGCGACCCAAGTCGAGCGGCACCGGGGCAGGCACGGTGGGCGTGGGCGCCGGCGTGGGGGGCACGCGCTCCTCAGTGGCGCGCGAGTGAGACATGGGGTCCAGTGGCGTTGGTGAGGAAGATGGACGGAAGGAAAACTAACTAGAAGGTACTCCGCTGATCAGCGTGGTTCCCTTTTAGATTCTATATGGTTTGAATTGTTTTTCAGCCTGCGGCGGCAGGAGGAGTGATGACGTTGTATCATCTTTCCTAATAATTATGTATTATATCTTATCTAGACTACTATTTACTATTTCAAACAATCCATGTATGGAACATTATGCGCCTACATTGAACCCCCTTTTCAACCACCCAAAAATCTCTCAGTCCGATGGTCGGATGGTCTGCTGAACCAAGTTGTTTGATTCAAAACGCCAGCATGAACCAAGCCTTCCAGCCTCCAACCTCCCCACCAGGCCGCACCTCCGGCCGCCTCAGGGGCTCATGCCACCAGTCCGGCGCCAAGCCTTTCAGCAACTCCTCAGGACGTCCAGCGGGCAAGAGCTCCAAGGTGCCCTGCCGGCGTCGCAGGGAGGTGGTGCAGAAGGGATGTGGGTTGCTGGAAACGCCATGGCAGCAGCCAAATCTTGGATGAAACGGTCCAACCAATGGTCTGACTGAGTCGATGATGAGGTCGTTTGGTTGGGGAAAGAGCTGCCATCACCTCCTCCCTGATCTTGGCACTCCATGAGCAGCACAAAGTACCATCCAAACTCTTTTCCAAGTCAAACCAAATGTTGTTCGCAAGTGGAATTCTCTTCTGGTTGGTGGTTTCAGCTCACTTAAGACAAAATATGAGTCAATGGGTGCAATCATCTCAAGTAAGGGTTGAAATCAATAGAATCAATACAAAAAGCCTGGAGGGGCCGTTGGGGTCGGCGCGTTGCTAGTTCACCAACAAATAGGTACTAACCCCTTTCAATTTACCCGGAACAAACCTGTTGCTACGTCTTGTAAAGTCACTAGGACCTTCCAAGAGGTGTCTATATAAATAGCCTCTTTGCGGTTAATTAAGGGGTGTCCAAAAACCACCTGTTGGAAGGTCCTGGTTCCTGTCGAGGTTGACTAGGGAAACCAATCCTCAACAAACAAAAAGGTGAACTGCCCATTGCTAAGGACAAAAAAGGACAAACACAACACAAAACATGTGGCCAACCTGCATGTTCCAGAATTTTGGAGAACATGCACAGACACACTGTTCAGCAGGTCAACCTACCACGGTCCACCTACCTCTCCGGATGAATCCGGTCCGCCATGGACCGGATTCGCGCCGGGCCTTGCCACAACAGCCCCACTGGGGTGGCTTTCTGCCCCACTTCCTCAGTTTCAGCGACCGGGTCACCGGGGATGAAGAGAGGAACTTGGAAGAGACGGATTACAGATGATCTATGAAGATTTAGGCCATCAAATGGATTATTAATATTAATTAAGTTAAGATTAAGATCTAGGAGATAGATCTATCCCCAACATGATTCATGGAGAATCATGGACGACTCGCACTTGGTAGTCCTATGGCACCTCATAGCTATACTTGCAGTCATGATGCACCACTTCTAAAACATTAATAAAGGGAGGTCCCTGTCATTAGAAGATCGCCATCACTTCATCGGCGATCCCAGTCCATCACCAACCATCCGCTTCGGACCACCGGGTTCCGAACCGCAGGGAACCAAACGAAGGACGCCCCCACCAAGCTGGTTCCGCCTGTGTCAACAGCAAAGTTCAGTGTAAACGCCTAGCTTTCACTTCCCTCATTTGCACGAACAGTTCTTGAGAAGCATCTCTGTAGCAGGACACTAGAAAGTCCCTGGTCAGCACACTAACATCCACATTATTTTGATTTCTAGTAAAACTATAGCTGTTGGTATTGATTGGATAGGTCGCCAGGGCTCAAGTTTTTCTCAGTCACCAACCTCAAACCCTCAGCTGTTCTCCTCAAAACCACCACCACCACCAACAACAACCACAACCCCGACCTTAACAACAACCACAACCACAATTACAATGTCAACACCAGTCTGCCAACCTTCTCCACAATCTTTTGTCTCTTTGTCTCAGCATCTTACACTCCCCACGCTTGATGCACGCATTGCAGAGTTTGTCGCACCGTTGAGCGCCTTCGCCTCAGTTCGTGACATTTCGGTGGATTGGAAGATATGACTGTGGGGCATGGCACCGGGATACCTGGGTTTTTACCACAGAACATGAGCAGCAGAATGGACGACGAGTCAGGACGTCCAACCTACCCCGGTGAGTCCGGGGCTCTGGGTGCCATATCTTCTGAAGACCACCTGCGCAACAAAGCCGGAACGCTGATGCACATCTTCAATTGTATCGAGCAGGGTTCGACGAGCGCAGAAATGATCTCGACACGGATTTGGAAGTGCAATGGATGTGAATATCTATGAAGAGTAGGACTGCCACAAAGAAGAAACGGTGACCACTGCAAATCAAGATTGGAAAGAGCTGGCAAGTACAGTTAGGAGGCTTCAACAAACGATTTCGATCGATTTTGAGATCCCGTCCAAAGTAGCAATTACATGTAATAGCGTCGTCTAGTGTCTACTGACCGCTTTTTTCCATGCCTTTTCCGAGTGGCACTCGTGCCGGTCCGGCCGCTTGCTACAGCAGTAGGTGGCCATGGGCGGTGGAAGCCAGCGGAAGTCCGCCCTCAGCGTGTGGAGTGGGAGAGGTGGATCCTGTGTGAGAGTGGGTGGGCGTGGGCGTGGGTGTGGGTGTTGGTGTAGGTGGGTGGGTGTGGGTGGAAGCATGAGTGTGGTTCTGGTGCTCAAACGCTGTGTGTCCAGCGTCCAAAACGCATCAGAAGCCCCAAAGGAGTCGAGGGGAACTTCGCACAAAGCAACTGGCTTCGGAGGAATGACATGTGTTCTTTGTTTTTGGCCACAACTCGGGCTTTGTACTAAAGGAATGCTTCTGATGGTTCTCTTCAAACTTTGACGAGAGGAATGCTTCTCCGATGCCACGCACCGCGCGACCATTCTCGGAGCTTTGTTCCGACCGAGCCACAGCCCTCGGCAAGCACCAGGCGTGGCCACGGTGCGGCCAGGGATCTCGTACAAAGGATTCGACTGGTCCTGTCGAAGTGGATTCGTACGTGATCTGGAGGTGCAAACCAGCAAGATATGGATAGTTATGGTGATTTTTTTGGATCATTTTCTCTTGTGCGTATTACCTTACTTAGCAAAACAATGGAATGGAAGGTGAACAAGATCCTTCAATCAATTTTGGCAAATCCGGTCAAAGTTGCTGAAGACCCTATGCATCTGAGATCTCACACCTTCGTTTGGAAGAAGAATCTCTCGATCGATTTTCTTCAAAAGTTTCGACTCAACTTCATGACGGTATACTTGGCCCTGGCCCTTCCGCCTCACACCCTCAAAACACCCAGTCTTAAAAAGGACGGTCCTTGATGCCAGAGTCGAACCATCCAGGGTACATCAATCCTTCCAGGGCATTCTCGTCTAGGTCGCAACGCTGATAGCTGCTCGTGCGCACCTGCGCTGGACGGACGGACAACCCAAAAGGCAAGCGAGTAGGACGGGAATTAGCTGCGTCACCCGGATAAAGCTCATGCTTTTCTCGATGGTTTGGAGTCTCTCATCCAAAGACATTGATATATTATAAGATTTATCTTCTGCCACCAAAGCCATCTCCAAATCTTCCCTTAAATCATCTTAACCTTCCAACCCTGTCTTTCCAAACCTGTTCCTCCAATCCATCTGTCACCCAATCCCTCTCATCTCCACTGCTTCCGTCCAAGCTGCTCCAGAAGCATCGGGCATCTTGGAGGTCAAATAGGCTGTCGGCTCATCGGCCAAGAACTTTATCATGCACCGCGCCACGTGTGCCGGAAACAGCTGCAGCGTATCACAAATCTGCCTCAGTGCATGAAGCTGCATGAAGCTCGTCTCGGTGGGACGTGGGCAGGGGTGGTCCCATTCAATTCAGCTACCCGAAGAATTGAGCTGTATAGTGATCAAGTCTGCATACCAAGACCCAAACAATCTACGCAGTGGCCATAGCGGTTCTTACCTACCGGCCTTTTGGCCGTAGCTCATCTTCCGCCAGTCGTTGATCTTAATCCCTGGCCCGCCCAACATCTTGAACCATCCCAAAGGTGGCCCACATGACCAACTGCAGGTCGGGAACGACCCGGACCCCGAAACCGGTGGGGTCCCCCACGACCGGAGCCGGGAATCAATTCGACTCCCAAAGGCTCAGGATGAATTCCCCACTGGGAATGACTACTCAAGCCTTCTCACGCTATAGGAGTTCTCCACTTGTTACAGCTCCAAGAACCACTTTCGCACACTTTTGGGTTTGTCTCATAAACACAGAACCCCACCCCCCTCCCCGCGCCCAGTGCTCATAGCCGCTTGATCGGCCCAGTGAACTTCTTGGAACTGTACCTAGCGAGTTCGGCCGAGTTCCTCGCTCCCGACGGTCTTTTTGCCGGGAAGAAACATGTATTCTGGGGGATCCCTGCGTGGTGAAATTGAAAGGCGGCGCTGGAACCAAAGAGGCTGAAGATCAATCGTCGCCGCACTCCCAAGCCCTTCTGAGACTTGGACGTGACTGGCTTTATTTTAACCTGCTTTCATCTGCTCACTTCAGTACATCACCCCCACAACAACGGGGACCGACTGTATACATTCTTCCACCCAAAAAATCTTAGGACTTAGGACCCTTTGAAGACCTCTCCCCGACCTGCCTACACCAACAACGCAAGACACGTGCCACCCACACCAAGTTGGTGCCCCCGCCATGGTGGCGTTTCCACACGTTTGCGGACCCTCCGCCCACGAGATAATCTGGGATCGATTTCCAATCTGCGGACCCGTCAGGTCTAGGCACTCCATGCGGCCACCCCACCAGGCTCCCCAGTAGGTGTGGTTCATGACCGGCCACTGGGCACACTCCGCCCAGCGCGACTGCAGCAGGCCAGGGGTCTTCAAGAGCTCAGTCTTGAAGGACATGTCGAAACGCGTCACCAGGATGAAGGCGTAGGAATGACCTCGAAAACACTCATGTAACGTGATGCCAGATGGTGAAAAACACTCCGTAAAATGATGCAAATGATCAGTTGGGGTGGTTGATTTCAGGGGTAATATGGTAATACAGAAACACCATACTACCATACTCCCATACCACAGTGCCTGGGTGCCTGGGCCATCAGGTCCGGGGTCCGACATGGTCCCACCGCCCGGACAGCCCGGACCACCCGACACCATCACCATCCATCACCCTGACCAAACCCAAAGGCGTTCGGCACATGTCGCCGCCGGGTTGCACGCCAAACCACCAAACCACACCGCGATGGAAGCAGTCTGATGGAAGTGAAGACAATTGAGGTGGGTCGCTGAGCGACCCAAAGGAACCACATGAAGAAGCTGTGACAGAAGGGCGGTTCGCTGTGAACGGCAAAATGGCTTTTGAAGAACCAGGTCTTGGAGCGCCAAGACGCATTTCTTTTGCTTTTGGCATGTGCAAGATTGCCCACTGGGCGCGTGCGACGCCCTCGCGAAGCCGCGCGCCCAAAACACAGCACCGACGGGGTTGGCCGCACGCGACGCGTCGCGGCGACCTCGTCCGTGACTCGTCCGTGACCCGTCGTGGGCGCCTGAGGTCAAGATGAGCTCCAAAGCCTTGATCACAGCACGGCTCTGATAGCCTTAGACAGGTGGAGACATGTCGAGACTGAGACTGGACTGCCTGGACAGTGGTCTTGTTGGTCTGCTCAGTGGTCTTCTGGACTTAGAATGAATCATTGGCTGCAAACGAGAATCTCTTCATTAGGGCCATATAGAGAAATATTCAAATTATATTCAAATTACACCTTCATGGCCATGGCAATCTAGGTCCTCTAGGTCCTTCAAAGTTCTAGGATGGATGCTCACCCTTCACCCCTGGAACCAGTGGAACGTGCATTGCGGGCAACCCGATACTTCTCAGCCGAAGCGGCAGTTTCCTCGGGCCTTGCATTCCGAATCGTACACCACTGCGATCTTGGCATCGCGCCTCAGCATACCCCAAGCAGATTTAACGGTACGTCCAAGACATAGGGAACATGACAACCTGTTGTGGTTCGGGGGCAACGCTGACGTTCATTCTAACCTTAACACCACAAAAATTATAAAATGGTCTTGCTCGCTTTTGCCTGCTGAGAAGTCGTTAGCTCAACTTCCACAAAGCATAAAGAAAACTGTAAACTCACAGAAAAACCTCCACGAATGGACAACAAGACTGTGGGACCTGGAAGCTCCAATGGGCTTGGAAGAAGGTACTTTGACACTGTGGTGTCTAGCCAAGCAGCCCGTAGGTCTCTTGCAGGAAACCTCAGCACCAACTCAGCACTTGCTGGTTGGTGTTTTCAACCCAACTGGTCATGGTTAATTAGCGCATACATGCGCATACAATGTTGAACATCAACTTAAGTTTTAGAGTGATATTCTTGAAATCACTGACCACCGAAATCTCGACCAAGGTGGTGCAAAGCGTTCCGTTCCGTAGGTTTCTGTCCCTTTGGAGCAGCTCCGTTCCGAAAGTTTTGCAACGGAAGGAAGGTCAAACACAGGAAAAAGAGTGGTCGCTCGAAGAACGACTTCGCCCTTTGGATATGACTCATAGCTCAAGCAAACCATCTTCATCCCTCAATATACTTTGTTTGAACAAACTTTCACAAGTGAAGAAGAGCTCGACTCTACAGATCGGCTGCCAGATGAGCGCAAGACAATTGGTTGTCTAAAACGTTCAAGATGAATTATTGTATCGCTATTCTAAGAGCGAAATACATCTATATGGCATGAACAAAGGGCTATCTGGCTATCTTATAGGATAGGTGACAAGATCATTTTACCTACCTATATAGGTTTTTGTTCTAATCCGCTGCCATGGCAACTCCAGCTTTCACATCGTGCTTTGAACCCACCAATCCAGCAAGTGGCCGGGTCTCTGCCATCACCCTCTACCCCTGGTCCTAATCCATAAAACAACGCAAAGTACCACAAGCCCTTCCAAACGGAAAACAACAACAACTCCCAGACTCCAAGGATCACTAAGTATACTTGTAATGAGTGCATGTTTAACACTTTCCTTCACCCGCAGTAACCTGTATACCATGGTACACGAACTTGTAGACGCCATTTGTCCGCCCAGTCCGCCCCGTCCGGTGCGTCCCCCTCGTCCGCCCGGGCCAGGCCTTGGTCGTGGTCCGACCGGCTCACCAGAACGAAGTCCACCAAGAACTGTGCTCGCCGGAAGTCCTCCGCCGCCTGGAGCTGAACTAACGCCCGTGGCTGGGAGCTGAGTCTGAGGAAGGACGCTCCATCGGTCCCCTACGCCCAGTGTCTAGCGACGCCACGGTTATTACAAAGGTGATACAACTCCAGTCTTTCTTTCCCGAGACTTTCTTAGGTCGGAACTTCTCTATCTCGTCTTTGGACTTTCAAAAAGGGTGAAGGTACTTCGCTTTGCTCAGACCCTACAAAGAGACCCCCCAGCAGACCGAAAAGGAGCTAATGATAGGTCTGGACTGGAGTCCTCAAAACGAAGAACCAAGTGCTTTTCGGGATATCTCATTAGAGAAACAAACCCTATAAAACCTCTCAGCTCAACAAGAACAGCCGGATGGATCCTGATCCTCATGGATCATCTAGCAGTTCAGCTTCCACGCAAATGCCTCTGAAACATACATAGACCGAATGGTTCAGAACCACCCACTTCAAGTACTTCCTCTTTCACTCCACTAAGGCACAACAACTGACTGTAACCCATGCCCCCCTCGAACATCGCCTGCAAATGCGTCTTGGACGCCACCTGCTGGCTCCGTCGCCCATAGCGATGCACTTGGCCCCGCAACACGAAGGCCAAGCGCCGCTTGCAGGGCGTTGAAAGCTCCTGGGCACCGGTCAAGTCGCACCGGTGAGGTGAGAGACCTTCGCTCCGGTCGGGGCGAGTACACTCCGTCCTCCAACGTAGATGGGAAGATGGCCGAAGACTCGGATGATCCGGGTTTCCAAATACCAAGCAGGTGGGTTTTCACTCCGCCATGTGTATAGTGACTTGGAGTGTGCTACCCAAAGGCTCAGAGTTTGGACCCAACCGGTTGGCTCGGGTTTTGGATCCTCACATCTATAGGTGTTTTGGAACCTTCACCAACATCTAGCAGTAGGTCTCAGGTCGTTCGGGTCACCTCTGGTGGGTAAAACACATTCTTGGTGAACCACTCCGGGTCAAGCGATTGTGCCACATGGATCCAAACGGGTGCATTTTCCGCAAACTTCTTTCAGTGCACAGCGTGATCTCAAGCAGCCCAAGCACAGTGATTGTAAACCCACCACAATGAACAATCATTACCAGTGCCACCTACTTCGGGTGGTTTATAGACCTTGCCAGTGACCTTTTGCAGGATTTGTAAGTCACCTGTTCAAGAGCAAAGTGACCTCATTCAAACAATCTAATCGTTACGACGAACCCTTTCCCGCCTCTGGTGGACTGGCCGGTGACACCACAGGCACTGGAGGTGCAGGTGCTGCGGCCAACACCGGCGGTGCTACCGCGACCGGTGCCGCTGGTGATACCGGTGCGAGCACTGGCGGTGAAGCCACGGTTGACCTGGGATGCGTGTGTGTGTGTGTGTGTTATGTTTTTGGCCAGCTCTCGCTGCTGCAAGAGCTGAGGTCATTGACCGCAGAACGCTTGGGGCTGTCAAAAAAGAAATATATAGATGCAAAGACAATTGCGATGGAGACTCATCCCTTTCATCCCAAAAGAAGCAGGAGGTGCTTGAAATATGTTGAAACCATGCAGTCCGGTGGTGCTGTTCGGGGGAAATCGATGCGAAGCATATTAATTAAAATACAGTGTACTATTTATGCGAAACTCTCAAGATCTGTATTATATCTCCAACATGCGTAGGGCTCGCTGCCTTTGTGGTGCTCCCTGCCCAAAGCAGTCTGGCGAACGATGACCAAACCTTGCACTTGACCCTGCCACCCTTGGCCCTTGGTTGATGAAGTTGGCACATGATCAAAGGGACCATGAGTCACAATGGTGGTCGCCTTGAGTCCAGGGGTTGTCTTGCATAATTTTCCCGTGTATCGAACTAATCTGGCATATCTTGCACCTGCGGCTTCACCATTGCCCGTTGGGACCCCCCGAAACTGTGGTGCTAAAATGTGCTAAATGACAACAACAGCAAGTGCAGTCTTTCTGAGGCAAAGAAACACATGAACACCACCATGCCATCCGAGGTTGTTCTTGCACCCCTTCCTGCCACGGAACGCGGGCCCGGCTGCCCCATCCACGCTGAACTCGACAGTGGCCGGCGCGGGCTCACGGGGGACTTCAAGTGAAGAGCCCAGGGGCTGCGACCTGAATGGGATGAGAGCATGTTCCCGGTTCTTGAAAGTGACCCTTAGAGGGATGGCGCCTCACCAACGCACACATAATTCGCCTCACCTGCGCACACAGACTCTTTTATATATTTAACTCACCTGCGCACACACGATTCGCCTCAGCTGCGCACACATCGATTACATTCTTCTTCAATAAACAGCCCATGTTACCTCAAACTCAGCTGCGCACACATGATTCGCCTCACCTGCGCACACACAAATTGAGTCATGATCTCTTTTTGCTCATTGCTTCCTGTTGGGTTGGGATGGGGGG